CACAGGTCTCCAGACTCCCTCTTCATACTATGCCCCTGAGGTGGGTTCTGAGCACACTAGGTTCCTAGATGTTAATAAATACTACTTGAAAAAAGGCAAAAAATAAATTGGGAATTCTTAATTAAAATGAAAATAAATAGGCTTCTTTACTAATTTTCAGAACCTTTAATGTACTAATAATACATTGTAAACCTCCAGGGGAGCATTATTATATGTAGTGTTTCTCAAACTTATTTGGCCAAGAAACCTTTTTTCCAAAATCCCCTCAAGGGCCCAGGGTTCTGCAGAAGACCTTGGGAAATACCACACTATGCCATCTTGCCTCATGGGCCATTTCATAGTTTTCAGAAAGGAGTTTAATTGCTGCTCAATAGTCCGTTACATTGCTAAGCCAAATTTATGTTTCCAGTACCCAATGCTTAGACATTGATGTTGGTTCCAGTTTTTCAGCATTACTGATATGTCTGCCAGGCCTGGGAGTCTAATGGTTAAGATTCAACGTTCTCACCTCTGCGACCCAGATTTGTCTCCTGGTCAGGGAACCACACCACCTGTCATACTGTGGTGGCTGAGTATTACTGTGATGCTGAAAGCTATGCCACTGGTATTTCAAATACCAGCAGGGTCACCCATGGTGGGCAGGTTTCAGAGGAGCTTCCAGACTAGGACAGACTAGGAAGAAAGACCTGGCCACCTACTTCCGAAAAAATTGGCCATGAAAACCCTATGAATAACAGCAGAGCATTGTCTGATATAGCACTGGAAGGTGAGAGGATGGGGTAAAAAGACCGGGCAGGGTTCCACTCTGCTGTACACAGGGTCACTAGGAGCTGGAATCAACTTGACAGCACTAACAACAAACTAATAATTCTAGAATGAATTCTGATTACTTTGTGACCATCTCTGATTATTCTCTTCAGAGGTGGAATTGTTGAGTCAAAGCATATGAACATTTTCCAGACTCTTGAAATATATTGTTCAGTTGCTTTCCAGAAAGGTTATGCCCACTTGTCCTTCTGCCAGTTGACGGAAGTGGGGGCAGGGTTGGCATCCATCTGTGAAAGCTGAGAAATCTAAGAAGCTTGAAGATCATTCACTTCCCTCTTATCCTGTAGACATCCAGCAATTAAAAAACAAACAGACACATGCTAAGGACATAAATAGCCATTTCTTTTGAGTGGACAGATTAGCTTTTCACAATTCCCTATGCTTCTTTTAAATAATGAAATGTCATCTGAGAGTTATCTGAACACTTTAATTTGGTAGTTTAGGTATTTTGTTGGATGAAGGGATTTTTCAATGGGCCTCTCTTGTGCTAATTTTCAAATAACCTTTCAAATAACCTTTTTAATCTCACTTTCAAAATGAGATTAAAAGAAAGTTGTATCAACCTCCTGTAATTGTGAACTTTGTTCCCGGAAGAATCTTTTATGTGAGTGAGTTATCAGTTTTAATTCTGACCCTACGGAAATTGAATTATGTCATATTGAGTATGGACGCCAAATTGTGGTGCTTTGTTTTATCTTTGTGTGGGGGAGAAGTGTACACATGGCAGGCTAGAAGTGATTTACTTTTTTGTCCTTCACAAATATTATCCTTTGGTCAATGCATTATTGGGCTTTGGAACTGAGATGTGAACTTTTAACTCATTAAAACCCCGAAGTCCTTGGCAATAAAGTCGTTTAAGTGGCTTCACCAACAGATTTGTTTCAAAATGATTCCATTTGGAGGAAGGAAAGAACAAGTAATGCATTATATACAAAGATCTATTCAATAATGCATGAGACCTGCACATCAGGGACCGTTTTAGATTCAGTTCATGGTGTTATAGTGGAAAATGAACTCTGTCTCAGAAGATGTCCACAACTTGCTCCTCTCTGTGCTTGAGTCCACAAGTATCTTGATTTTTTGAGATATAAATTTTGCACATACTTGGTGTATTTAAGTGGACCTTTCTTATATGGAGGCTATTTTGAAAAAAAACGGGCATTTTATATAATTGGGGTAAAAGGACACTTTATATTCATTCCTTACCCTTAGCAAAGCAGGAATGTTTAAAAAATACATTGCTTTTTCCTCCCTTTGGGCAGGAATTCTGATTTTGTTTTCTCCATGTGGAGTGGATTGCCAAAGGATGGATTAAAAATAGATTCATTGATGCCTAACAACTACAACAAACACAGTGTTGGGCAGTTGGTGAACATGGAAAAGGACGCATGGCAAATGGCCCTCTGTCCTGCAGTGAGTCCTGGCGAGTGGCCAAGGCCCTTCAGCTGGGAACTCCCGGGTTCATCCTGAGCTGCATCCAACCTGTTGCCTTTACTGAAAACCAGTGAGGTGCTAGGGTGATTTCTCTTCAAGCTGGAAAGTGCACCAGGGCGTGAAGTTGGGGAAGATAGCCTGCTTCCCTCCACACTCTTGTGAGTGCTGTGCTAGCATTCTTCAGTGCAATAAAGGAAACCTAGGGAACTGACGAGCTCCAAATTTCCAAATAGGATCAGTTCAGTTTGGCAAGTGTTTATTCAATGATACCTATTGTGTGGGAAATAAAAATGAATGAGCGATGGTTTTGTTGTTTGCTAGAAAAGCTTCAGAATCCATCCTTCCTTCCCTCCCTGCTCCTTCTCCCACTCCCCCATAAAAATGGCTGCTTTTTTTAAACTTAAAAACCATTTTATTTAAAAAATCATTGTAAAAATTTATACTGTACAAACTCTTATAATGAAAATGTACAAATCCCTAGGAATCCCACCATTAACATTTTGAGAAATATGTTATAACTACACACACAGACACACACCCACATACATTTTACCTTAAATTATATTATGATACATATGCTGCTTTGAGATTAATTTTAACAGCATGTCAAGGATGCCTTTTCCTATAAAGTCCTCACTATTATTTTAATGGTTGCAGAATATTGCATTATATACATATACTATTAATGAATTCTCTATGATGAACCTTTAGGTTGTTTTCAAATATTTGCTCCCATATACAACATAGGGATGAGTATCTTTGTGTGTGTGATGATCACTCCAGTATATGTTCCTATGAGTGGAATTGCTGGGTCAAACAATATACACATTTCAACTTTTGATAGATATGACCAACAGTGGCTTTGAAAGAAGGTCTCTCTTTTATTAAATAAAAATTATATGTACTGCATTTAAGGTGTATAACATGATTTGCTGTATATATACATTTTTGAAATGATTACTGTAGTCAGGCTAATTAATATATCTTCTCACAGTTACCTTTTTTTATTTTTTTATGAGGAGAGCACCTGAAATCTACCTTCTTGGCAAATTTCCAGATTCAATACAGTGTTATTAACCATGGTCATCATGCTGTACATTAGACGTCTAGAACTTATTCATCCCGCATAACTGCAGCTTTGTCCCCTTTGACCAACATCTCCCCGCTTCCCCCACCTCCCCGCTCCTGGTAACCCCTGTGCTTCTCTCTGCTTCTGTGTATTCCACATTTTTAGATTCCACGTATCAGTGAGATCATGCAATTTTTTTCTTTCTGTGTCTGGCTTATTTCACTTAGCATAATGTCCTTTAGGTTCATCCATGTTGTTGCAAATAGCAGAATCTCCTTTTTTTTAAAAAAGCTGGATAATATTCTATTGTGTTTATATATACATCATATTTTCTTTATCCATATATTTGTCAATGGACACTTAGGTTGTTTCCATATCTTGTCCATCGTAAATAATGCTGCAGTGAACATGGGAGTGCAGACATCTCTTGGAGGTACTGATTTCATTTCCTTTGGGTATATGCCCAAAAGGGGAATTACTGGATCATATCGTAGTTCTATTTTTAGTTTTTTGAGGAACCTCCATACTGTCTTCCATAGTGGCTGTACTAATTTACATTCCCACCAACAGTGCACAAAGGTTTCCTTTTCTCCACATCATCACCAACACTTATGTTTTATTTTTTTGATAACAGCCATCCTAACAGGTGTGAGGTGATATGTCGTGGTAGTTTTGATTTGCATTTCCCTGATGATTGGTAATGTTGAACATCTTTTTATAAGAAGGTCTTAAAATACATTCCCATGTAGTGTATGAGAGTGCCACCCTTTCCAAATATGCACCAACAGTGGATGTGATGTCTTTTTAATATTTAATAAATTAATACCTGCCTCATCATTGCTTTTATTTTCAGTTTTTTTACTATAATTTAACATGTTTTGAATTTATTGGCAATTTGTATCTCTTCCTCTGTGATTTATCAATGTTATATCCTTTGTCCATTTTTCTACTGAGCTATCTTTTTCTTACTGACTTTCAAAATCCCTCCACAATATATTCTTCAAATATATTCAAAGATATTTAAATATATTCAAAGACATATCCTTCAAAATATACATAAAGTCTGCATGTATCCTCAGAATAATTATGTATCCTCAAAATAATTATCTATCCTGTTTAGGGGTAAATAATTCTAGTGACCAGTGAGACTTGCTTTGTTCACATTTTGGAATGAAGGTCACCTTTTTTACCGTTTGTTGTGTGTTCCACCAACTCGGCCATCCAGACCCAAGGGCGGGCTGCCCGGGGCCCTCCCCGCTGTGTTCCTCATGAATGGCCCAGAGAGGGGCTTGTGATCTGTGTCAGTCTCCCCTTTTCCTCCTCTTGGCAAACATCTTTTTCTTACCGCTGTGTAATTCTAATGAGATTGCCCTGGGTCAATCATATTAAATAAGTGATGAGCAGCAGAGAAAAGAAAATTCATAGGATAGCAACATTTAAAATAAAATTTATTTTTGGCCTTTGCCCAACAGTGAATTTCACAGTCTATAAACCACTAGCGCATGTGCAGTCAAGGAGGAATATTTATTATCTAATATGAACCCTGGGAAAATTCTAGGAGGAATTCAGGGATCCTATAGCAATGATGTAGGGTAGTAATTTTATATTTAATCTGGGATGCATATAATGTGTTCACTTTGGCCTAAAACTATTCATTGTTCCTTAACAGTTTCATTCACTGGCTCCCATGTACTATCGTGGATCCGCTGCAGCCGTCATAGTGTACGATATCACCAAACAGGTAAGGATGTCCCCTTTAGAACTTGGATGCCATTTATGGTGATTCTTTCAGAAAGACCAAAGTAGAGACTTCCCTGCTTGAGTCTTGCCAGTGCCTGGAATGAGATTTCTCACTCTGGTGGTCAGGGATAATGAACACCACAGTTAGTTTATCTCACCTGTATGTAGCGGCATTTCAAATTTATCTGCTAAATTAAAGCAGTGATCATTCATTTTTAAAATTGACTGTCTGTTTGTAGAGGCAAGGTCATGCCTGCTAGTGCTATTCTCCAGAATGTCAGCTTTTTAGGAAAAGGAAAATTATTTTTAAGTTCTGCATGTTTTATAATTATGGAATACTTATTTTCTATTAGTGTTTCAATCACATTACTTAAAATGCCAAGAATAATGTTTGTGCATATAGAGTGTGTTTGTGTGCATATAATATAAATATATTTTTTGTTATCACATTGAGGGTCTAGGATATCCATCAACAAATAACTGAGGTGGTTTGCTGACGTTTTTTCCCACTCCTGGAATGCTGACTCAATGCTCAGGACCATTAATTTAATGATCCATTGCTGTGACCATCCATGGGTTCCTGACCACTTCTGCCTAAATGTGGTGTCTACCTTGGCTCATTTCCTGGACTATGGTTGTGAGTGAAGGGCAGATAGGAAAACAGGACTCTAAAGTGTGTGTGCATGTGTATGTGTGTATATATATTTGTTTCTTTTTCTTTCCTGAAGTAAGCATGAACATTATTTTAGTCCTATGGCTTAGTCCTTATTCATGTTGAGTCAAGGCTATAATTTGAAATTAATGTTATTTATAGAAGAAAATTACTAATATGATTATCTTAACTTCATCAAGTTTCAATTTTTAGAAAAGGAACCTTTTACAGGCTATTTAAGTATAACTTAGCTAATATTAAATTTTGTGCCAAGACAGGAGTAGGTAGTATGTTAATCTACATGAGTCTCCTGAAAATATTTTTCTTCATTAAATTATGTTGGGTTTATATCTCTACTTGGTTGGACTATTACGTTGATGGGTCTTTCCCAAGATTGATTTACACTTTTGGTTTAGGATTCGTTTTATACCTTGAAGAAATGGGTAAAAGAACTGAAAGAACATGGTCCAGAAAACATTGTAATGGCTATTGCTGGAAACAAGTGTGATCTCTCAGATATTAGGTAAGATGCATTTAAAAAATTCTTTTCTGTGGTTAATATCCTCCACCCCTGACTGTCTATGTGTAAAAAGCTGTCAGGCCTGTGTTAAGTTTGTTCTCAGTATAATAATTTAATCGATGGTCATTTACTTGTGGTGGTCAAGGTGGTATTTATTTAACCAGAGTAGAATTAAGGGAAGATAATAGAGAAATGCAAATTTGATGGCCACCCAGTAATGAATATTAAAATCAAATCTCCTGTACAGGGCAGTTATATCTCTGACTCTAGATGTGGACCAAATGGTTTTATGATTTTTATTATTACTTTTTCTGTTATTTTTGTCATTATTACCATCACCATTTTAGTAACACTTTCATATGGTAAGGAGAATTAGAATTCTTAACATTTTCCATAGCATCCCTGCTTGTTTTAGTTCTAGACTTTAACTTAAGGATGTAGTCAAGTCTATATAATCTCACTATTTCATTCTAAGATCTGAATATGACGCATCCTATGTGAACACTTTGGTTTCTTCCAGAGACTCCGAATTGTTGAACTTCCTTTACCTGGGGAGAAGATTGTAGGGACCCAGTCCACATAGACTAGAAATTTGATGATAGCTTTATCTAGTCTGATAAGATAGCTATTTTTACTAAATAAAAATGTTATGAAAAATGAAATAGTGAATTTGCATTGTCTCCCTTCCCCTGGTTAATTTAATTCTCAGCGATAGCAGTAGTTGATTTTCACAAAGACAATGACATCACGCTTCAGGTTTTGCTAATCCAAATACGATTAAACCAGAGTTTAATGAACAGTGAAAATGGATCTTGCAAAAGCTCTTAACATGGCCTTTGACAATTGCTGTTTCTTTGGGATTTTTGAAAGGTTTATATCACATTGCATCAGGTTGGTTTATAATAACAGCCATAAACACCACTTAATCGTTTGTTTTTCTGGGGGCGGGACAAATCTTTAATCTCCCCAGACTTAGTTCAGATCTCTTTCTCTTTACTGTAATCCTAAAACAGCTTGCTCATCTAGAATTCCCAGCAGAGTTGCTTTAATTTTTGTTATTGGAAGAGGGTGGGGTGGGGGTGGATAGAAACCGCCTTTGTTGAGAGAAGGCGCTATCATTTGACACCATTGAATTGCAGTAAAGGTGCGACTTTGAGTGGAGCTAAGCCTCCATGAAACAGAATAGAGAACCCAGAAATAAATCCACACAAATAGGCTCCACTGAATTGTGACAGAGATGCAAAAGTAGTTCAATGGAGGAGGGATAGCCCTTTCAAGAAGTGGTGCTGGAGCCATCAGACATCCATAGGGAAAAAAGAACATCCACCTAAACTCACACCTTCTGTAAAAATTACTCTAAAATGAACCGTAGACTTTAGTGTAAAATGTAAAACTATAAAACTTTTGGAAAAACTCTTAAGAGAAAACCTTGAGGATCTGGAGCTGGACAAAGAGTTCTTAGACTTGACAGCAGAAACACAATGCATGTGAGGAAAATTGATAAATTGGACCTCTTCAAACCTGAAACATTTGCTCTGTGAAAGCCTGTGTGAAGTGGATGAAAGTCAAGCTACAGACTGGGAGAAAATATTTGCAAAGCACGTATCTGACAAAGGACTGGCATGTGGATGTGTGGGTATGTATATAAAGGCTATATAAACAACTCTCAAAACTTAACAGTTAAAAAAAATCTGATTTGGAAATGGGCAAAAGACATTTCACCCAAGAGAATATTGATAAGGTGAGCAAAGGCATGAAAAGATGTTCACTGTCATTATCCGACCTATCAGAATGGCTAAAATAAAAAAGAGTGATAACACCTAATGCTGGCAAGGGTGCAGAAAAACTGGATCACTCGTACATCGCTGGTGTAAATGTAAAATGGTGCAGTCTCTCTGGAAAAGACTTTGCAGTTTCTTTTAAAACTAAATCTGCAATTACCATATGCCCAGTAATCACACTCTTGGGCATTTATTCCAGAGAAATGAGAACTTATGTTCACATAAAATCTGCACATGAATATTCAGAGAAGTTCTATTTGTAATAGCCCAGAACTGGAATCAGCCCAGATGTCCTTCAGCAGGTGAACGACTAAACAAACTGGTGCCTCCGTACATGGAACATTACTCAGCAATAAAGAGACACAGACCACTGATGCATGCGGCCTGGACGAGCCTCTGGGGAATGATGCTGGGTGAATGAAGCCAGTCCCAGGAGTTTCACAGTGTATGACTCCATTTACATAACATGTTTGAAATGAAACCGTTTTAGAAGTAGAGGACAGACTAGTGGTGGCCAGGGCTTATGGTCAGCGGTGATGTGGGCAGGGGAGGGGGGGGGGAGTGGGCATGGACATAAAAGGGCAACACGAGGATCCCAGCGATGTCAGAACTGTTCAGTGTCTTCTCCGTGGGGGTGGATGCTCAAACCTACACAGCTGATACAAGTGTGTGGAACTTCGTGCACACACACACACACACACACACACACACACACGAATACCAGTAAAACCGGGGATATCTGAGTAAGATAGAGTGTCTCCCGTGTCAGTGTCCTGTCTGGGATATTATACTATAGTTTGCAAAATGTTGCCATTTGGGGAAACTGGGCAAAGTATATAAGGAATCCCTCGGTGTTATTTCTTCTAACTGCATGTGAATCTACAATTACCTCAACAAAAATTTCAATTAACAAAAAGTTGAATTAGATAAAAATAATAAGTAAATATTAGAACAGTGGTATATGTGTGGGTATATATATATCCGCACATATATATGCATGTTGTATGTGTTGTATATGATTAACTAAAGTTTCGTAAACACACTGGGCCAAATGATGAATTTAACCATTCCCCGCACACCTGATGTACAAAAGAAAAACAGGATAACCATATTAAAAGCTCCCATTTATGAAAGCGGGGTGTTGGTCCTTGCCCAGAGTATAAACTGTCTCCCGCTAGACAGGAATAGTCTGGTACATGATGGGGCCTGCAAACCTAATGGGCGTCTGCTGTTGACACCCTTCCATGGCGGTGGAATCAGGTTCTTGGTCAGTCAATCTGGCTGCTCTAGATTCTGCCTGCTGTATGGTTTTTCTGGGGAGTTGGCCAGATCTCTCACACCAGACCTCATTTAGAGCTTGACCTTCTTTTATTCTAGTCCTGAAACACTTTGCTTTTCTGTAATTGCCAGAAGACTATATTTTATTTTTCATTGGGGGTTGGAGAGGAACGATAAATACATTTGGCACGTGTGCTTGTCTGTCTGTGTGTGTGTGTGCATGTGTGTAGGTGGAACCAGTCTCATCTAACAGACTTTGGTTGTGTAAGCTTGTAAATTCTTAAGAGGAGCTATGCCTGGCGTATTTTGATAGTGCCCTGGAATTTAAATGGGATCAGCTCCCTGAACCTGACTCAGCCCACTGGAGGCATTTGTGTGCAGAAGTGCTTCGCAGAGAAGATCCCCAATCATTGGGCCAGTGTGTTTCATACCCCTGCATGTTCCAGGAGGCGGTATGGAGGTCTGACCACACCACCCAGAGTGACAGGCATTCAGAGGCATCTGGTCAGGTAAAGTCAGGACTTCTAGTTTGGATTCTTTTTAGGCTCCTGATCTTTGTGAGAGATTTTCCTGAATATCTTGAAGAATTCTAAACAAAATCTCTTTGTGCTCAAATTATCGTGAAATTGGAGTAATGTGTAGTCTCTGAATCTGAGGCGCGGAAACCAACTAGAATGGGTGGTACTGTGATAAGACGGTCCTGGACTCGCACACAGTAGGTGCTCGGTGGGTGTCACTTCCTTTCTTTCCTGCCTCTCGTCTCCCTCCCCAGTAGAGACGTGTGTGGTTCCTGGTGAGGCCTGGGAGATCGGGCTCTCCCCTTCTCCCTACCATCTGCTGATGCTGGGGTAGGGATTGCAAAGTCGGGGACATTTTAGGGACATACAGGGTTGAAAGAAAATGAGAGAACCTCAATTGCAAAGGTGGTGCCTGCCCTGAGGTAACAGCTGACTTGGAGAGCATGGACAGCTCAGAGCAAAGAGAGTGCCCCATGCAGTTTGCCTACCCCAGGAGACAGGAGAAGCTGACATGAGTGCTGAGAGGGGCAGGTCACCCAGGTTCTGAACAAGTAACGTGAGGCATGGGGCTAGTTCCAGCTGGCTCAAAGGAGGGCAGATTTGGTCAGGGGCATAGATAGAAGAGAAACCTCCAAAAGTCTAGGGAGCCCACAAGAGACCACATGGCTGGGTCCTGGGCCCTGCCAAAGAATTAGGGCAAATGAGTCTTGAAAAGAAAAAAAGAAATAGGTCACCTTGCTTCATTGGTTTTGAAAGTTCCATGAACATAAGAATCATGTAGTTTAATCAGTGGTTAAAAATTCAGATTCCAGGATCCAGCCCCTGAGATTTTGATTCAATAGGCAGGGTCAGGCTGGGGATATATACATTTTTAAAGTGATTTTTTTTACAAGTGGTCCAAGGGCCATACTTGGAAAAGCATTGCCTTAGGTGATGGAAGTTGATGGCAGGGAAGAATGAGGAAGTTCTGGAACCTAGCTGGGCATCTGTCCAGGTCTCTGACGGCTCTCTGTCTCGCCCTTCAGACCTCCTGGAGAAGGGAAAGAGCGGCTCATTATCTTTCAGGAACCAGAAGTAGCACCATTGACCCATCATCTTGGCATCTCTTCAGAAGCAGCTCATTCTCTCCCTCTCTTTTGCATCTCACATCGATAGTCATCAGCAGAAAAGATGTGATTGGATTGGTTTGTCTCCATCTAATTAATATCAGGCTCCCCCTTGGGCCAGCATCTTGCACTCAGCCACATTCTGGATGGCTGGACTCCCTCATATCCAGCTTGTATTTGGTTGCCTTTGGCTTGGGCAAGGGATTAGGGTCACCTGGCTGTGGCACTTTCATGAGAGGGGCTGCAGGTTTTTCAGGAACCGTCTGCTTTAATTGGCAATGGGGGCAGGATCCTCTAGGTGTCAAGGTTAGAGGAGGAAG